CATGCACGCACCATACACTCACCAGTCCATATCATTTGGGGACTCGCTGTGATGTGGGTCTCCATGGAAACGGCAACAACTTGAAGCTCGTTGATGTATAATGACAGTGAGCATAGCACCTTAGGTGAAAGAGAGTGGGGAGGGAAAGAGAAACAGAGGGAGGAAGAAGGAGAAACACAACAGAGCTTAGAAAGGAGAAGGAATCCTTGGTGAGAGTTAACATGTGGTCCATGATATTAAAGCTACATTCTGGAGTTGCAGTTTTGACTCATTGTAATTTTGCTGTTAGTCTCTGCTGGAGCACATACTCAACCCAATGATGTAAATGAAGTTAATATCCTGCAACATTTGCATATAAATTAATCTCTGTCTTTCTACTTTGCATTTCTAAATGATGTGAAAGAACAGTAATTCAACCGAGAGCTGGAGTTAATTGACACCTTTTACTGTGAGGTGTTCTAAATTTCCAGAAGGTTCTCGAGAAAAACATATGTTTTTTTCTTTAATAGACATTTTTGCTTTGTTGAACCTGGAATTTAACAGCTAGTTAGTGATAATGAGTCAAAGACAAGAATTCTGAATAAGTAAACTCAGAAGTCCTAACTTTGGAAATTACATAAGAAGTGTTTTCTTATTTTCCAGATCAGTCCTATGAAGCTGATACTAGGGCTGTAGTCTCCTGGTCGACTAGTCGATTATTTGGTCGCTATGCTCTCATCCGACCAAATTCACATTGGTCGAATAATCGCCGTATTACTTTAATAAGGAGAAAAGTGCTACATCAATAGCTTTCCAGGATTAATCCATTATTTCCTGCGGCGGGGGGACAGGCTAAGTTACCTGTGAAAACTTGTTGACAGAAAGTTGGACTCGCACCCTCATGCTCAGCGTCACGGTGACGCAGACCTCCTGTCAGTTTCTGTAAGCTGAGACCATTTCCCTCAGTGGAAACAAAGCTTGTATTTACTTGTATTTCACAGATAAGATAATAATAATAAATTGTGAAGAAAGTAAAGCCTCCACTAAAATAGCATTTTAAGTTGTGTGTGCGATTTATCCTTCAGGGATTTATACTTCGGGATTTATCCTGGCTTCATATGAGCAGAGGAAATCTCCGCTCGTCGCTAGGCTAATGTATACCATGTAAAATGCCATAGGCTGGCGCTAATAACGTTAGCATGTTATATTTGTTTGGAAAACGTGTTTAGTATAAGACAGTTGTTTTGTCGGCGAATGTTGTGAGTTGTAATGGAGCCAAATTATGAGCCGTTACCTTTGATTAATGTTGCTGTTGTCCCTGGTTTCGTATGAGAAGAGGAAAAGATCGCGAGACGCTAGGCTAATTTATACAATGTAAAATGCCATAGACTTGTGCTAATAACGTTAGCATGTTGTATTGGTGGGGGAAATGTGTCCAGTGTTTGTCTGTCAGTTCTGCGATTTATAGTGAAGCCAGTTTGCGTACTTGTGTTTGAAATTGTCTCTATTAAGCCAGGTTTAATGTGTGTTTTGAATCAACTGTATAAATAAAACTGAACCCTGTTAAAACTCTCAAACTCTGTATGAAGACAATAAACCAATAGTCAAATATTCACATTGAACAGCCAAATCCGATTCAACTGACATAATTTTGACTTGAGTGCAGCCCTAGTTATCACCTTTTAGAATTGAATCATTTAGCATTTGCATTCATTTAGAGCCGTGATACTTTCCGCTGAATGTCTATCCAAAGTCTTATTTTCTCTGCATGGTACCAGCATGGCTCGACTTGATTCAACTCAGTTGGTACCGTACTTTTTTGGTACCGTACAGTTGTGGATTCTACCTGTCACCAGATACTTTTTTGGTACCATTTTGTTTGAGGTTTGAAACGAGCTGAGCTGATAGCAGTAGGTGAAGCCAATGACTGTATACAAAGATGGACAGCATGTCTCCACTTACTCCCAATGTACAAAAATCCAAAACATCCCCAACACATCCACAGCCCATTTGTGCTGGTGATGTCATTTCGAGCCAGAGTCTGGGCGGCAGCAATCTCTGGGGTATTGAGGTTCCACTTATATACCTGTGCGACCAATCGTGAGCAGTGCCATTGATTGCGAATATACCAGTTATAACCAAACTTATTAGAAAAACAAACTCTTAAGCATAATCCAGTGTGGCAAGAACTACCTCAGATGACACAGACCATCTTTGAGAAAAATTTATTGAATATGTACTTTTTTCTTATAGTTTGACCCTTGCCCCATCCACTAACATGAAGTTCGTAGGGCTTGCACTACAGACAGCCACAAGGGGGCGATCAAGATGTTTAGGCTTCACTACTGGGAAGTTGTCATGTTGTCCTTCTTTAAATACAGTCCACAGATGAAGCTAAAACACTGCAGACCACTGATTGGTCACTAGATTGGTTAGATCAGAGAGAATTGTCACTCGCACGACACAAGACACCATGCAGAGAAATTTTTTATTAAGCCAAGCTACCATCAATAGCAACTGCAAATTCTTTATTTTTTTTTTATTTTTATTTTTTTTATTTATTTACTCAACCCAGATTTTTTTTTAAAAAAATGGCCAACTGCAAAACCACTTCATAGTCTACTGACAGTCATTCCTTTCTTGCCGATTAAAGGATCAAGCAAGAGCTGTATGGAGCAACTCATGCTGTGTCGTGTTGAGAATGATGTCACTGCAGTTTCACGTCACTATGACAGTAAGCTGAGAATCCTGCTTACAAAAATTGAGAAAAGCATCAGGTTGCAAAAATTAGTTGCACAGAATCAAGTTAAGCTGAACCATGCAGTGGAGATGATGCACAGTATCCACTCCAGCTTCTCTATAGCTGCAGACAAAAGCTCTTTCAGGCAAAGACTGATAATCGTGTCTCTACTCCGAGACTATTTTAGTGCGTTTATGACAACAGGGGGAGATGGAGTCATGGGGATTCTTCATCACATTCCTGAAGAAGGTGTTATCCTTGATTTAGTGTTTCACGTGTGTGTGTGTGTGTGTGTGTGTGTATGTGTGAGTGTATATTAGCTCTCAGTGAGCAGTTAGCACTCGATTTTCAACCAGCTTTGGATCATAACAATGTGTAAATGAAATGTGGTAAACAATAAACATCCCTCCATCTTACCAGAGCCCAGATCTCTCTGCTCATCTTCCCCACTAAGATTTGCTCAGACTTTTGCTGGCTCTAAAGCTGTTGCTTGTACTAAAAATGGTGTGTCCACATTTCCATACGTCCACCACCACAGACACAACAAGTATAGAGAAGTGAGGCAGAGTAACTTTTAGCAAATATAACCTGCTATAGCAGGCTCAGTTTTAAAGCTACACTGACTATACAGGTGTCATATTAAACTAGAGGACCTAAGGCATCCTTTAGTATCAACCATGTTATCCTCTCATGTCAGAGAGGGGCCAAAATAATGCTCCAAATTTACGCTAACTTTTGCAGAGGGAAAAAGGAACTGCCATTTTTCAAAATTATTTCTGCACACTGCGTCCCCTAGTCTTTCAATTACATAAACTGGGCATGACTGAGGAAAACTGAGAATTGATAGATA